TCAAATATATGTGGTAGAGTCAATTAATGAAAATCAAACACATTGATTTACTGCTGGAAATTAGTATAAATAAATGAATATTTCCTAGGATATAGGGATTGGTATCTTAAGACACTTGGGTTAATTGACAGCATTAGGACTAGGATTTTATAACTTAATCAGTAAATATAAGCCACTTATTATTAATATCGGTTAATATTTTATGGTAATTCTTGCCAAGGAACATAAAAGGCTCAGGTTTTGATATTAAGACTTAATTTTTTCAGTGGAATGCGATTTTCGATATTAAATCTAAATTAATCTCTAAACTTAAGTCAACGCATTTGCAGATTTTCGTTGAGATAATTCCATAATTGTTACACCTGTATCAACTGCAATATCGAGAAAAAATTATTTTTTTGTTCATTTTTTTTTCAAAGATCTCGTAAAATTATGGGCTTATATTAGTGCCATGGACGGCCGAATGGACGCACATATCAGATCGTCGATTTACTACTTAAGATTTGGAGAGGTGTTACAAAATTTCTGACCAGGAAAAAACTCTCCACAGTGTGGAGAACCCCTAAATGTCCATGTATTGGTTTCAAAGGATTGAGGAAAATATTTTTCAAAAAATGATGTAATGAATGATGTTTCTTTAAAAAATTTTATTAAAATTATTCAAAGGTTGTCTTTAAAAATAGTATTTTTGGATGTTGTTTCTAAATATATAAACTTAAAAAATCCAAGAATTTAGGGCTAATTTTTTCAAAAGATATGCGAAATTGGGAATGATGTTTCTTTAAAAAAATTAAAAATATTTAAAGGTTTTCTATAACAAATTGTATTTTTGGATATTGTTTCTAAATATATAAACTGAGAGAAAGTCCTTCTAAAAAACATTCAAAAGGAACTTTCCAAGTTCCTTTACACATATAGTGGAATTTATTACTAAAAGAAATTATCTAAGCATGGTTAGATATTTGAACCTTAAAAGTAGTAGTTCAGAAAACCAGGACGGTCCTTCTTCAAAAAAAAAAAAAAAAAAAAAAAAAAAAAAAAAAAAAAAAAATTCCATCTAATTTAGACGATCGAAGATATATATGGGACCTATATCTACATTTGAATCGACTTTATCAATTTCAATGGGGTTCGTTCTTGGGCCAAATAATTTCTTTACGATCTCAATCTCAATAGAAAAATGAATTCTATTTCTACTTTGGTTGCAAAAAATCATGTTCTGAAAGTCCAGTGAAAAAATGTTAGTCGAAAAAAAAAATATTTAAAAAATCCACGTCTTGGAAGTCCTTGGAAAAATATGATTCGAAAAAACCATTTCCTGAAAGTCTTTTGAAAAAAAAATATTTGAAAAATATATGTCGTGGAAGTCCTTAAAAAAATATTGTATAAAAAATCCACGTCCTCCAAAATTTTTCTCTAAAAAATTCATGTCCTGGAAGTCCTCAAAAAAATATTTTTCGAAAAATTCATGTCCTGGAAGTCCTTGAAAAAATATTGTATAAAAAATCCACGTGCTCCAAAATTATTCTCTAAAAAATTCACGTCCTGGAAGTCCTCGAAATAATAGTCTTTGAAAAGTCTACGTCGTGGAAGTCCTTGAAAAAATATTGTATATAAAAATCCACGTCCTGGAAGTCCTTGAAAAAATATTTTTTTGGGAAAATCCACGCCTTGAAAGTCCTTAAAAAAATATTATTCAAAAAATCCATGTCCTTTAAAAAAATATTATTTGAAAAGTCCAGGTTCGGGAAGTCCTTGAAAAAATATTTTTTGGAAAAATCCACGCCTTGAAAGTCCTTGAAAAAATATTATTGGAAAAATTCATGTTCTGAAAGTCTTTTGAAAAAATGTTCTTTGAAAACTGCATATTCTGAAAGTCCTCAAAAACATTGTTCAAAAAATCACCCATTGAAAGTCCTTTAAAAATTATTATTTGAAAAATTAATGTCCGTTAAAAAAGCATTATTTGAAAAAAATCCGGGTCATGGATGTCTTTCAAAAATTATTATTTGAACAAATTTGTTATTTTAAAAACGACCTTCCTGAAAATTGTTATTTTAAAAACACACGTCCTGAAATTCCTTAGAAAATTATTAAACGAAAATCGACATCTTGAAAGTCCCGTAAAAAATCCGAAAAAATTGTATTTTAAAAATACACGTCTTGAAAGTCCCTTAAAAATAAATATTTGTTGAAAAATCCACCCCTTAAAATTTCTTGAAAAAATATAATTTTTAAAGTCCAAGTCCTATATTTCTTTCGAAAAATATTATTTGAATAATCAAAGCTTTTAGTCCTGAAAGTCCTTTAAAAATTATTAGCCCCTCAAAAAAAAACGAAAGTATATTATTTAAAAAATCCACGTCTTGAAAGTCTCTTAAAAAAATCCGAAAAAATATTATTTGAAAAATCCACGTCTTGAAAGTCCCTTAAAAAATACGAAAAAATATTATTTGCAAAATACAAGTCTTGAAAGTCCTTGAAAAAGATTTTTTTGAAAAATACAAGCTCTAAAATTTCTTGAAAAATATTATTTTTAAAATCCACGTCTTGAAAGTCCCTTAAAAAAATCGAAAAAATATTATTTGAAAAATGCAAGTCTTGGAAGTCCTCGAAAAATATTTTTTGAAAAATCCAAGTCTTAAAAGTTCTTGAAAAATACTATTTTTAAAATCCAAGTCCTATAATTCTTTCGAAAAAAATTATTTGAAAAATCCATGTTTGTAGTACTGAAGGTCCTTCGAAAAATATTATTTGAAAAATCCATGTTTGTAGTACTGAAGGTCCTTCGAAAAATATTATTTGAAAAATCCACGTTTGTAGTCCTGAAAGTCCTTTGAAAATTTTTATTAAAAAAAATTCACGTTTGGAGTCCTGAAAGTCCTTTGAAAATTTTTATTAAAAAAAGTTCACGTTTGAAGTCCTGAAAGTCCTTCAAAAAATATTATTAGAAAAATCCCCGTTTGTAGTCCTGAAAGTCCTTCAAAAATATTGGAAAATCCACGTTTGTAGTACGGAAAGTCCTTTGAAAAATATCATTAGAAAACTTCACGTTTGCAGTCCTGAAAGCCCTTCGAAAAATATTATTAGAAGTATCCACGTTTGTAGTCCTGAAAGTTCACGTAGTCGTTTAAAAACTTATATTTGAAAAATCCACGTCCTGAGATTCCTTCAAAAAATATTTTTCGGAAAATCCACGTCCTGAGAGAGCGTACCAATATTGTTTGAGAAATCCACGTGTGTAGCCTTGAAAGTCATTTGAAAAACATATATCCTATAAGTTCTTCGAAAATTATCATTTGAAAAATCCAATTAATGATAGTCCTTCGAATAGTATTATTTGTAAGTCCTGAAAGTCCTTTGTAAAATAATTTTTAATAAATCCAGCTTTGGAGTCCTTTAAGTCCATTGAAAAAAAATGTTTAAATCATTTGTAGTCCTTAAATATTAAAAGTCTACGTTTGTTATCCTGAACGACTTTTAAAGATCTTTTTTTTTGTAATCCCTTCTGAAACTCAGTTTTTTCTTAAAAATGCATTAAAAAATCAAAAGGAAAGATCTGTTTGTCCTTTAAAAAAATTATTAAAACTAGACCTTTGAAGATTTTTATGACCCCATTTGAGGCACTGTTTTTCGATAGATTTCCAAGATTTGTCTGTTTGTCCTTTGACAAATATTAAATAGCAATAAAAATTGTAAATGGGTTATTTCTCTCCCACTTCCCCCTATTCCTCTCCTCCCTCACCCATACCTACCTTGACATGAAGATCTCCTTTGAAAAAACTGGCTTTTTGAAACAATTGTCACAAAAAATACCTGCCCCACCTTGCAATTTTACCCCTTATCTAAGCATGTGCATAAACCTGCCTATGGCAATCATCTAAATTATTCTTTGAAACAATTTCTGTTCAATTTTCATTTGAGCATAATTTCTGGTAATTTAGCGGCAACAAAAACCAAAAACGAAACCCTCATTTCACTCTTTGGTGTGTTGGTTGGATTTGAACAATTTTCGGCTAAAAAGACGACGACAATCCATTTCACAAAACAATTTGCTCCTCTTTATGTTTGGAAATTAGAAATGACGCCTTAGCGAAAGCAAAGCAGCCAAATCAAAGGAAATCTAACGCCTTATTATCAACTCTTTTCTTGTCTCTTTTCTATTTGTTGTTGTTGTCGGTATGGTGCGGCAATTACAGCTGAACAACAATTTCGAACTTAAATGGCAAAAGCGAGAGGGGAGAGAGAGAGAGAAGAGAGCGACTGAATATAATTTCGGTGGGTTTTTTAGCTGCAAAGGCTAAAGACAAACACTATTCCTTTGTTAGCTTTGGCTGGAATGCTGGAGAATTAGCGAATCAACAGCAGCACCAGCAACATAATGGAAAACAATAATGATAATAGTAGACAAGGACATGACAAGAAAACATAAAAATTCTCTGAAGCACAACTCTCTCGTTCAATGCTGGTGTGCTATATGCTACGGACAAACTTGTGCCACAAAGCGAAGCATAAGACATAGATGAAGACTTTTTGAAAAGATCAAACAAACAACACGTTGTCGAAGTTTCATTTTCTTTTCTGTTGTTGTTTTTGTGTTTTTTTTGTTGTTGTTTCTTTCAGTCAAATACTCATTAGCGTTGTTAAACAGAAAGCACACACGCAATGGCGTTGTTGCCATTATTATTGAGCAGCAAAGAGAGAGAGAAAAAAAAAACGCGAAGAAAACACAATTCTGATGATGTTTCTTTGGGAAACTTATTTTCATGTGTGTGTGCATGTGTGTGTGTGTGCATTTCTTTAGTTTGATACAACTTAACAAAGCCTGGAGTTGAGAGGCGCTACATGTGTTTGTGCGAATTTGCAACTTTTGCTAATTTGTGTCTTCATCAGCGCCGTCACCATCCTCCTCCTCCTTCTTCTTTGTGTGTGTGTGTGTGGTGTTTATTTAGTCACTCCTCTTAGGTTTTTTTTTCAACATCTTCTTCCTTCTCTTTCAGAATCAAATCATCCAACACAATCAACGGGCCGGTGTCATAGTCAGCAGCGGTGATTTGGCTCTGCAGGGCGTAACACGGCACCAGGCGGGCAATTACACCTGCACTGCCTCCAATGTGGAGGGCGATGGCGACAGCAATGTTGTGGAGCTTAAAGTCATGTGTAAGTATTGACAGAAATTTAAGAAATTTTGAATTGGTTTGAGAAACAAAAAAAAAAAAATGATGTAAATACATTGAGGGCATACATGTTCGACATCCAACTTTTAGAGAAATTTCCATTTCCGGTAATGAGGTTATGGGTCTTTACCAATATTTCCGCATACTTATAGCCAAAGCCCATAGAGGCATTCAATTTATTTTTACAATTTGAAATGGGTTCCAAGAATCTGGGGGTAATGTAGCAGATTGTAAAAAATTAAAAAAGCTGTATGTTCGGCCGGGCCGATCTTTGAATATCATCCATCATTTGCTACGAATTGGAAATTTTCAAAAAAAAAAAAAAATGCTGTTAAAATCTCGAAAATACCTACTGTAGCCGTTATACAGGGTGAGATAACAAAATGCATTTTTTGAATGAAAGCAAAAAATGTCGGAAGTAGCATCAAATTTTAGAATAATTATAGATTTGTTCGAACTGTTCAAAATAGGTGGAAATATTATCAAATGATAGAATAAGTTTAAATTTGTTCGAATTTCTCACCATTGACACGAATTATGGCCAATGAAACCTTCAAACGCTGTCCGAATGTTGCTCTGCGGTATTTTAGCCCATTCCCGGCGAAGTGATTGCTTGAGGTAAACGACACTTTGATATTTTCTAGTGCCAACCTTGCTTTCCAAAATTTGGGGATAATCCAGCAGATTGTGAAAGTAAAAAAGAAAAAAAGTAAAAAAGCTGTAAATTCGACCGGGACGAACTTTGAGTACCCTCCACCATTTGCAACGGATTTGGCAAGTTTCAAAAAACAAAAAAAAAACCCTTAAAAATTCTGTTCAAATCTGAAAAATACCAAATTTAGCCGTTATATATGGGTCTATAAGACGACGTGGACCTGCGCAGGCAATACAATATTCAAATGCAAATCTTAAAAAAATATACGGTGAACAATTTAGCTAAAATCATCGCAATACCGAATATAGGAAGCTACAACATTATATGGATGATATACCAAAACGTTGACCTGTACAGACAATTTTCTGTCATAGGCTGTAGTATCCAGTACTGAAACAATTCCGGTGAATAATGTCGCTAAAATCATCAAAATAACGAGTAACGGGAGGTGCCATTATATGGGAGCTATACGAAGACCTGAACCTGCACCGACAATTTTCTGTCATAGGCTGTAGTATCCATTACTATCTTCAAATACCAAATTTGAAACAAATCCGGTGAGTAATGTCGCTAAAATCATCAAAATACCGAATATCGGGAGGTACAGTTATATGGGGGCTATACGAAGACGTGGACCTGCGCAGACAATTTTCTGTCATAGGCTGTAGTATCCATTACGAATTTGAAAAACTAAATTTGAAACAATTTCGTTGAATACAGTCGATAAACCATTAAAATACCGAATTTCTGGATGTACCGTTATATGGGAGCCATACAAAGACGTAGACCTGCAGAGACAATTTTCGCTCATAGGCGTTTGTTTACCGTCCCCCCCCCATCCCCACAATCTCTTTCCAAATATTTTTGGAAATTTTCGGATAAAGATTCCTCGGAATCCATGTATTTTTGGTATATAGTTTTTTTCGGCAATATATCAGATAAAAATTCGAGTCATATAATGTTCTGAGGGGTCTTATTGGTCCTTTCTTGAAAATATGGTTAAAAACGTCCTTTAAACGGAACAGTAGCGAGTCAAAATATTCTACAAAATTATTTGCCATAAAATTCTACAATAGGTTTTAGAAGACATCGAAAGTCTACAAACTATCTGAACACACATTTAAGGGTTAAAACCGTAGTTTGTGTGAATTTAGGCAAAAATCTCCAACAAAGCATAATTTTAGAAGGATGACGTCAAAGACCGAAATTTTCTTCATCAATTTTTACTATAGTCACCGAAGAAATAAATCTCCATTTTTCCTGGGTATTGCAGCAAAAACTCGAGAATTATTTTTGGTTGAAAATGTTGGCACTCAAGTCGATAATTGGGTATTTTTTAATATATGGGCAAAAACTTCCGATAAACGGAATCGTAGCAAGTAAAAAATTCTACCAAATTTATTTCTCTTAGAATTCTACCATAGGTCCTAGAATGCATCAACAGTCTACAATTTTCTTAAACGTCAGGAATACATATAACTTGGGGTTACAGTTTCACTTTTTCTGAATTGGTACAAAAATCTCCAACAAAGCATCATTTTAGAAGAATGTCATCAATGGCAAAAAAAAAATGCTTCATGGAATTTCACCACAATTCAGCATTGAAAAGAAATCTCCATTTCCACTGTAAATCAAAAAAAAAAAAAAAAAAAAAAAAAAAATTATATATATATATATATATATATATATATATATATATAATATATATATATATATATATATATATATATAGATATATACATATATGTATCAATGTTACCGGAAAAAACACCTTTTAGGGATAAGCCATACTCTTTGTGAGTTGGTGGAAAAATCTCTAACAACGCATCATTTTAGAAGAAATGCATTAAGGACAACATTTTTCTACATTAAATTTCACTATAAATCACCGAAGTAACGAAATCTCTATTTCCACTGTATGTCAAAAATATTTTCATCAATGTCCTCAAAAAAAGCAATTTTTGGCATAAATCCGCACTCTTTGTGAATTTATGCAAAAATCTCCAACAAAGCATCATTTTAGAACAATGGCATTGAAGACAAAATTATTCCTCATCAAATATTAATATAAGTCACCAGGGAAAAGTAACCTCTATTTCCACTGAATATCAAAAAAAAAAAAAAAAATATTTGCCTCAAAGTTTCAAAAAAAAAAAAAACAAAGGAAATATTTGTTACTTTTTTTCAACAGATTTTTCTGACTCTTTTTGAGTTGAGGCCTGAAAATAATACAAAATTTCGTTTTAGGCACAAGGTGTCAAAAGAAAAAATATTCTACATAAGATTTCACTATAAATCTCAGAATAAATCGTACATCTAGATACAATAGTTTTTATGAAAGGTACATTCGAAATTTTTGTACTACAAGTGAAAATTATATAAGTTAATGTTAGAAGTTAAAGTTTATTTCACACTGCTATGGTGTTTCTTTATTTTGTTACTAACATTTATGTTGCGGTGCTATGCACCTCTCTTGTTGGATTTACAATTATGAATTCCTTCAACTTAAAACTAATATTATACTGCAGCCTGGTCGTGCTCGTTATTACGCTGAGTCATCACTTGCGGTGCGCTGGTATTAGTGCGCGTGTTTGTGGCGGATGACTGCCCTGGTGTCATATTCCTGTTGATTTGTCGGACTGCTTGCGCAGCATAATGATGGAATGTTTACTAGTTGGTTTGCATATTTAGTTTGATGTTTATTAGGGTGAGCCGTTAACTCCTCCCTCTCGAATTATCAAGCGTCTCGATTGATGTGTTTAGAAATATGGCAGATTATAAAGACTGCCGCGTTGATTCAAGTTAATATTGTGGTTTGCTAGTTGTTTTGTTTTGATAACAGATTCTGTTGTGCCGGCTGCCAATTGGCTTTCTGACACAGTCATTTCTATTTGAGGTCTAGACATTCCTTCATGTGGGGTCATTTTTATAATTTTCATACTAGTTTTGCGCCTTTGCCTCATTTTTACTGCCATCAGGAGGATGACCAATGCTAATATGAGACTGATGTTAAAACATAAACTGGTCTTGAATTCAGTATTTAGACGCTCGATTCTTTTATTACTTTTCACGTGCAACGTTTTTAGTAGTTGTAGAGATAGTATTTCTTCGGTGTAGTTGTTTCTAGCTGAGTGTTTTAGTAGCGCAGGCAACGGTTTGGAGTAAGCAGCTTCTTCGACGGTGAAATTTTTGTTGCCTATCCTAATTGTAGAATTACTAAATCTTATTAAATAAGTTCCTGTTACATTTTTTTCGTTTCCATTTATGACAATATTTTCTTTTATGTTATTTATCAAATTAATCCAGGTTCTATTTCCTCTAAATTATTAATGTGATCTGCATTTACTATTGAACAATTATGTGGGCTATTAGTTACTAATTTAGGAATACATGTATTGTTTGTTATATTGGCTACATTAGATTCTAGACATAATTCAATACCATTTATTTTTTGACAAGGACTTTTAATTCCAAATGTTGCTCTTTCACATTTTACAATTTTCTTATAATCAAGATTTAAAACAGTATTTTGATTTTTTACAGGTCTTATGGTTATGACATTACAAATTTCTTTTACAGTTTTGGGAATGCTTATAATGTAAATTATATTAGTACTATTGTTTACAATTTTTATTCGTGCGAAATTTAAAGCTTGTTCAATGTTTTGAAACGGGATTTCATCTTGATTAAATATTTCTTCTATTTTTCTAATTTCTATTTCCGATAAAATAAATGTGTTTACAATGTTGGATTTTGTTAAATGAATGGCCGAATTAATATTCGTTATTTCCTCCTTTAAAATTTCAACTTTGTACTTTGCCTGCAATATGAGGGTATTACGGAAGTCCTCACTAGTCTTTAAAATTTTTGAAATACTATTTGTCGCATTCGTTATCTCCTGCATTCTTTCTATTAGATCTCTGTTGATTATTAACTGGTTATTGCTGTTGTCTGTTAACTCATTGATTTTGTTTTTCAAAAGCATAAGGTCATCATGGTCTGGACTACCTGCCAGCCATTTCCACGCCGTTCCAATCTCATCAAGAGATCTTTTAGATCTCTCTTCAGGCATTAGCCGATTTATAAGGTGAGATAGGGTAGTGATGTCATTATGTAGGAAGGGGAGTAGTGGGTGGTTGTCTGGAATTCCTTTGGCCAAGTCGTCCTTGATCCTCTCTAGAGTGTCATGATATTCCTTGATGTTAATAACATGCAAAATTTTGAATGTCCCTGTTTGTATTTTTCCTATTCCACTCTCTATAAGAACCACTTCTGATTGAGAGTAGTCCAATATTTCTGTGACCCCTAGGCAACCTGTAATTAAGAAC